TTCAGTTCCCCAGGTGAACACGTTCACTTGACCCCCTCGTGGTCGCCGTCAGCACCTTCGAGTTGTGAAAATTACCTTTGATAGTAGGGCCCCTTCCACCCTCTATAATTCTTGCTGGTGCCAGATGTTCCGTTCTGGAGTACATTCCTTCTCCTAGATTTTGCAATAAGTGCAGGAAGTTCGGGCATGGTGTCCTTAAATGCTCAAGTACTGTGACTCTATGCCCCCATGTGTGGGGACGAAGGCCACTCTAAGACTGAGTGCTCTTCTCCCCAGGCCTGCTGCCTCAATTGCGGTGAGGCTCACCCTACCTTCTCCCGCACGTGTATTCACTACAAACTTGAGGAAGTTGTTCTCAACGTGAAACACCGGGATCATTTTTCTTTTCCTGAAGCGAGACGCCAAGTCCGCGGTCTCAACCCTTTGACTGGTGTATCTTATGCTCGCGTGTTGCGTTCTACCTCTCCTTGTCCTTCCCACCATCCTCAGTCACACAACCGTTTCCAAGTCTTAGACCCAGACACGCCCACCGCCTCCTCCCCTGTTCCTTTCCGTTCTGTCCCGAAGGATCTCCCTCCTGGTTCTCCATCTGGAGTTTCCCCCCTTCCTACCCAGTCTGCCATGTCTCCTGTGTCTTCTTTCCCATCTCCCCCCGATCCTTCTTCTCCCCCCCCCCCAGTCTCTTGGCCCTCCACGCCGCCTGTTTGTCCAGGCTGATGTCCATAATCCTCCCAGCAATCTTCATGTTGTTCGCTCCCGTTCTTTTTCTCCTGTTAAGACAATTGAGTCTGGTGGCCATTACGTTGTTGCTGGAACACCTATCTCTCTGAGTCAGAAACGTAAGCCTCGCTCCCCTCCTTCCTCCTCTCCGGCAGGTAAGAAGGCATCGCTTTCTTTCTCGCCCCCACCTCTGACTCTATCGCTCCGTCCCCTCCTATTTCGGTGATCGGGCCCCCTGTCCTAGCCATGAAAGTTTCTATAGCACCTGATTTCCTCTCGGTTGCTGCCCTTGCTGAGGTATGCTCCCCAGTTTCTGCCCCCTCCCCCTATTCCTGTTGTCCTTGACCGCTCCTCTAGGTTGTCTCCTCCTCCCCGTTCTCCAGACCCCATCCGTCCGCCTCTAGTCTGTCCTCCCGCTCCCTTCACACCATCCTTACTAAGTTTACTCAGGCCCCCTAACCCTGATTTTGCTGACCCTGATCCTGATCCTGAGCTTATTCAATGTGCTGTGTACTTCTTAATCTTTGTTTCTTCATTGTTCTCTGTTGCTGTCCTTTCTCTTTTTGACAATGTCTGTTCTTCAATGTAATATTCGTGGATTTTATGCCAACTTACACAGTTTTCACCACTTTGTCTTTGTCTCCAGGAGCCGATGGTTGCTGCTCGTCCTGGTTATTCCTTTTTCTCCTCAACCCCGCCCACCCACTTGGGCTGGACGGTAGAGCGACGGTCTCGCTGCATGCAGGTCGGAGTTCAATTCTCGTCCAAGTAGTTGGGCACCATTCCTTCTCCCCGTCCCATCCCAAATCCTTATCCTGACCCCTTCCCAGTGCTATATAGT